ACAGTTCCTTTTCCTAGTAAAATCTAAATGTCATTTTTAATCAGTTTAAAACACACAGTTTAAATCCTGTTAAAAGAGACTCATATAATTTATACTGACCGGATGCCCTTAGGATCTCCACATAGCACTATTTTTCAGTCAAAGCCAGGACCTGAACCTCTCAGTGAAGAGACAACACCTCCACGCAGAGTGCATCTACATTAGTGTCTTAACTCAGAACAGAAACATGGTTTTGAAATAAATCTTCCAATTGTCCCCACTCGCCATGCTTTAGTTGTACTGGGGAGCAATCCTGGTGTGGAAGAACTAAATTTCTTGGGGATGAAACCAAGCCACAGAATCTGTTCCAGGAACGTGTCTGACAAGCTCTAACAGCTAATAGGGACTGAAGGGCCAGAACCAATGAGTGAGTCACCACCACAAGTTTTCCAGCACACAGCAAGCACTCACAAGCCAGCAGACAGCTCTCAAAACATCAAGTGCTCACGCAAAATGATGGAGTGCCTCTCATGATGCATAATGGCTTTGTAATTGCTGTGACCTACTGGCCACTGCTGGGCTGCTACGCTCCTCCTTCCTCATCCATACAATCAATAGCAACACCAAGTCCTTCTAGAACTCAGGAGATCCAGCATAGTGCAGAAGATCCAGTAAGCATCACACTGAGATCCAAAGAAATGAAACGTGTAAACCTGTGCTGTGAGAAGTCCAAACGCTTCCATGGAGGTAACAGTACTACCTTGTGGCTGTATCAGATTACAAAGCTGATGAGGTGATCAACATCAAGCCAAATTTAAGAAGATGAAGGCTGCGTGAGGTTTTTGAACCTTCAGTGGACTGTGGGAGCTGTTTTCAACCTTTTCTGCTCTCCCTTCCTAAGACCAATACTCTAATCAGCTCTCCCTGTCCCCACCAAAATGCCTACTATGTCTAGCTGCTCTGCCTTTTCCTGTTGCAGAGGCCAAGGCCCAGAAGAGACCATTTCCCAGAGTATGCTGCTGAACACAGCATGAATGTAACCTACATGAGGACTTGGATGGCCACCCTGTTCAGAGCTCACCTTTTTCCGTTCTTTACACAACTTGAGGCAGCTTATGCCAATACTCCCACCACCCTGGAGAGAACTGTGTCCTTGAGAACCTCGGGGCAGTGGGCAAGATGGCCATAAGCAACAGACAGCTGCACTGTGTCCTTATAAATGTTCAGAGACCATCAGGCTTGCTCCCCTCTCCTCTACAGTCCTAAAACAAAGTGGTTGTAAACTGCATCAGTCCCTTGCCTCCATCCCATTCCTTGCCCCTCTGTTGCTGAGAGCAGCATCCTGTCCTGAAACACCGAGCTGGAGCGCGTGCTGTAGCACCTTTGCCTGCCTCAGTTCTTAGAGGCTGGACAGGGCACAGCAGCCATCTGTACTTGAGACTGAGAGACAGGCTGGACACCCGTGTCCCAAAGAGTGCTCTTCTGCACTCTGGCAGCTGGGCAGATGCTCCACCTCGGCACAACTGTCTGGATGAGGATAAGCCAGGCTTGTATTTCAGCATGGTGTCTGGGCAAGGCAGCATGAGGCAGAGGGGAAGCAGTATTTCACATAAGGCAGGCGTTCAAACATCCTGAATGACCCCATGCAGAAAGAAGGTGCCAGCATCCCTTTCTAGTCTGGGGTTCTTTGGAAACCTCCTGAAACATGTGTGAATCTGCCTCAGTTTGTGGGCCACTCTTGGTAACCCTTCTGGCTTGCTACCCTGGGTCTGGAACCTGGCTGGGATGTGGGTGTTGCCCAGAGCACCCACAAAGGGTGCGGGAAACCAAAGAGAGCAAAGGCCTGGAAGATCATGTGCATGTCCCCTCCTCATACCACCTACCGAAATATGGCTTGGAGGATTGCTTCAGGGAGCTATACCACCTGTGTGTCCTTGCCTTTATGTAAAAGAGCAGCAAGAAGTTCTTATGTGAACACCTTTTCTGTTTGACAGCAGAAATGATGAATAGACTTGTTTTCTTATAAGAAAATGCAAGAAAATACAAATAGCTTGAAGGACCAAAATGGGGTAGCCCTTTCTACAGACAGGGTCTGTGCAGCATGGTGCACGTAGCTTGGAGGCTTGTTCAATGCCACACAATTTGGAGTTCCAAACATCTACAAGGATGTAAAATTACTTACACTGTTCTGTCCTTCCTTGAAGTGTTAGCTCTAGTAAGTAGCATTTTAAATGACACTTTACAGAGTCTGGGTGCTCTTCTTACTGGAATCATAACAAACTAGCTCCTCCTGATACAAAGCAGCTCTCTACTGCACTGTTGTGTGGCTACACTCAGATGCACAAAAGGATTTACTCAGCAGGCATAGTAGTGTTACCTGTAAATGAGTAGGAGGAGCGAGGTACAAGATCAGGAAAACAAAGGGGTTGATGGTGGTTGGGACTATCATCTGCAGGCGACACATGAAAAGGAAAGTATGGTGCTTTCCGGAGTGGCCTGCTATCCTCATCAAGGTCTGTCCTCATAAAGCTCTACCTGGTCTGAAAGATCTGAACTTTGGGTTAAACTCCCCAAAGTGCTAAAAGTGGAAAAGTCAAGTCCTCAGCATTACCTGTTTCAAACCACTCCTGTCGCACTTACCCGCTGAAGTTGTTACAGACACTTTCTCCATCTCAGGCTTGTACTAATAAACACAATCAGTTCTAAACCTTTGAGCCATACAAAGTAGTAAGATCCAAAGAGTGCTTTAAAAGCAAATACCTACAACTACTGAATAAAATTATTCACTTCAATTACCAATTGCTATTTTACTTCCCACACATTTCTACAGGGTATAATGGAAATATTCCTGTAATCCTTTGAGCATCTTTAATACAGGCACTAAAAATATTACCTGCGGTTTTGGTAGAGGTGTTTGGTTTCCATCAAACCCTTTAATTACGATCACAAAACTAGTCTGAATGCAGGAATCTGTATAAAACTGACAGATTTCTCCCTAATGAATTAAAAATTCCTTTGAAAAGTCCCGAGTAGATGTTAAGTCATATTCCCTTATGCTGATCAGCACGAGTGCTGTGTTGCAAAAGTACTCTCGATCAAAACTGCCTGCATATAATCTAAGTATTGGCAAGTAATAGTCTAAAAAATGGCATTGTTTTCTACCAAATATCAGCCAGACAATGGAAAAATAGTTAAATTAGAAGTCTACAACACAGATGCTGCTGGAAGAACAAGCAAAAATAATCACTCTTTGCAGCACTAGCTAAGCATGCGGCCATTGCACGGAAGGGGTAAATGTTGACACTGTGCATCCTGCAGACTTAGAGGCAGAAGCCACATCCAGTCTCCTGCTCATGTTGGGCAGTTATGCCCAAGCTGAAGAGAATCTGTCTCCAGAAACAAACTTGCTATTTATTGCCTGGAAGCAGGCATTTTAATGGCTGAGAGTGAAGGACAGGTTAATTCTATATGATAATACTTGATTATAGACTGAATGCATTTGGACATCAAATATATGGTGGACTTCACCACATGCAAAAGTATTATAAAACATAAATTAAAAAAAAAATAAAATAGAGGAACAACAGTGTTTTACAGGCTATTTGCATATGTATCTTATTTTTCTTACAACCTTAGCAGCATCTAACTATTTTGCTTTTTTTACTGTAAAAGATGCATTCCCTTAGACAGAGAGAAGAGGTTCATGAAAGGCACAAACTGCGAAAGCAAGAAATATCGGAAAATGTATTTTCCCACCCCATATACAATGCATATGATCAGCCCTAATTTGCTACCAGGAACATGATAGCATTTTCACCACACCCCTAAAGTCCAAGTGCCAAAAAAAAGTGGAGTATATTTCCCAGGACACTTGTAACAACTAAAGGACAGCAGAACTGTTTCCTTCACTATATATATAAAAAAAATTTGCTTTACAATTCTTAATTAATTTTTTTTTTTTCTTATCCGAAGAAAGAATGCTTACTGCTGTCCTTATTCCATATTCTCCTGACTGATACGAAAGGAACTAGGGTTGATGGCCACAATCTTTTGTGTGGTACTGCTTGACAATAAATACAAATTATATGAGAACTTAACAAAAGAAGACAAAATCAAGAGTTAAAGCGCAGAACCCTGACGGTATAGGGGCTGAAAGGATGACTCTAGGGATGTGGGTGGAGGCATGGGGAGCTGACTAAACTTTACATGTGTATAAACAGAAAATGACAGGGAGGATTTGGGGTAAGGGAGAAAAATGGCTGAGTAAACACTGGGCAACAAGAAGATAGGTTTTACTCCAGACCTTCACATTGTACAGCTAATATCTTAGTCAAGGACAGGAAGACTATTGCATTTGTGGGAAAACAAGACAGTTTACACAGGACTTTGTCTGTGCAAAGATGGTCCCGAGAAGAAAGCAGCACAAGCTGTCTTCTTGCACATGAACGGATACCTGAATACTGAGACACCCTAGACACCAAGGGAAACCTGGAGAGTGGCAACACTACAGATGCCTGGTTGCTGGCTGGGATAACAGAGTGAGTGCTACCTTCTGTTGTATGATTATCTCCTCTTAGTGCTGACACCATCACCTGCCAGCTCTCTCTAAATCCCCTTTTCTTACCTGTATAAAGTGTCATACTCTGGCTAAAAATCCTGGATCATTTTTCCTTTTTTTTTTTTTCACATCCTCTGCAGAGTCAGTCTACTACCTCAGTAAAATAAACATAGCAATATGGGGTTCGGCTGAAAAACCTAGCAATTTAGATATTTAAGAAAAGCTCTCAAAAGCACAATGACTGTATGACACTGGACCATTAGCAAGAGCAACATCTGGTTACTTGGACAGATATTTTAAAGTTGTGAGTTGAAATCTTACTCTCCAAGACTTGTTCTCTTGGAATCGCTAAGTTGCTGGGTCACATGAAGGAAAAGCACTTCCTAAAGTGGAAGTAATAGGAATTTGAACCATCCTCATCCCATCACAGAAAGCAAGTTAGTTATGAGTACTCTAAATGTACCTTGTAAACTGAACTTCCTCCGACGATCCAAACCATATCGACTTTACTTTTTAATTCTGGTGAATCCAAAAGAGCTAAAGCATCATCCAGACTTTTGGAAAGATAATGTGCTCCTTTTGGGGTTTCACTAGAAAAAGCAAAGTTTTATTACTAAATAATTAAAGGATCATTCATCATGATAATCAATACAATCTAGCCACATATTGTGTTTCGCTGAATTCACAAAGAACTATATGTTTCACATTAGTTAATTATTTTGAAATGCCTACTGTTGCTTAACGATGTTAGCATTCGCATCTGACTGCAGGTTTGTTTAATAAATCACAGTTTAATCATAACCGTGACTTAAGAGGCGTTATAAATTACAGATCTGAAATTCTGTATCATGTTTTTAAAAAAGCGTAACTGAGAAATATAGATATCTATAAAATTAAATAGTTTTTTACTTGAATTCTAGAACATTAATATTTCATTCAATAAAAACAGTCAAAAAGCCCCTATAGCCCACTCCCCCACATATTCAGCCCAAACCCCACCAACATCCTCCAGAACAATAAACCATTATAAGTGGGCATTTTTGTTTAAGAATATTTGGATGGCCACGGGTGACGCATTCAAGAGCAGAGCTCTGAAAACTGACAGTTCTTCTTCCTTAAATGCTAATAAAAATAAACTTCAAAAGAGGGATTAAGAGCTACCAATCTAACCAGGAACTAGAGAAATACAGTTAAATACATCAGTCAGAAAGACTACTGACAATTGTCAGATGGTTTGTGTGTAGAGCTAGGACTAGTATTTATTATGCAAAGTAATGACAATTATCTTGTGAATTAATCAAAACATAAAATAAAAATAATAATTAAAGAATTAAAGGTAAAGTAGTAATATCACTCAGAACCAATAGCAGAGATGCTTCCTAACCAGATATCAAAAATGTTACATTTAGAATTACTTTATGATGTATTGCTACACATATTTTTAGGTGCAGACCTAAAACTTTTTATTTCTTACAGGCCTATTATTCATCATACATACTTGAGCTCCCTGCTGAGCACTATATTAATTCTGCCTTTTAAAGGACGATTCTTCTCAGGAATGGAGAACCAGGTTTTTTTACCCATTATCAGTGCATTCTGTTTACCTGAGTAAGAGAGAAAACACTTATTTAAAGGGTACTTTTGCTCTGTCCCAAATTTGTTTTGGTTATTTAGTGACACTATTGGACTTCCCCTCACCCTTCCAAACTCCATTTTGGCAGTTAACAGAAGTATAAGCTTAGGCCTCAAATCTCAAATTAGTCACACCTGTAGAAGAACACGTTTGTGGCCTCAAAGCCCTGTCAGGCAGTTGACACCAAAGTAGTCTCATGCACACCTATAAACCTACAATTGAAAGAAAATCAAAAAAGGCATGTCACTGCCCATTACATGCATTGCACAGACATCAGCTCTGCTATAGTTACAGGGCCAAATTAATCTCCATGTGTGAGACCAACTCACACCCTCAAAGGGTTCTCTTAGTGTGAAAAAACATCATTGTTCTCTTTATAAATCCGAGCAGCATACAGTAATTGACTTTGTGTTTGCATGTTCCATCATTCCAGTTACACAATCAGGAATAATTGCCAGCTTTGAGAGTTACTTAAGGTGGGAAGAAAAAAAAAAGCCAGGTGAAAGGACAACTTTTAGGAGCAGAACCAGCCAAATTAAAGCCAAAGCAGAAGTGCAGCAGGTGTTCAATCATATTCTAGAATTCACCCGTAAGTATCATTTCTGACCAAAGCCAAACATTCATAACCTGATTATTTCTTATATATACCCTGCTAAGAAGAGGTTTCTCTTTATGAGCAAATAGAGTTGTCAGAGAAATAAACACACAAAGGTAGCAGGAAATTTTTTACAATGTTACATAGCAGGAGAGATTTTACAGAAAAGAAAGTAGTATTTGTTCACAGTTATCCTCCCTGCTTCTTGATCTGAGAGAGGCTGGATCTACTAGATCACACCAGAGAACTGATGCTCCAGTTCTTTATTAGCAGTGTCTAAAGACCCTTCTCCTGCAGGTAAGCTTCATGAGCAAGTTTCCAACAGACATACTGCAACGTCAGTTTAGGTACGTTAGCACAGACCACTGGCACCACTGCTGATGGAAATGCACATTCTGAAAAAATATATGTATTTTCTTACTCAAGACTCACATTGGGATGCCTACAGGGTCAGAACAAAGATTTGTCTAAAGCAATTCACAGCACTGGACAGTGCAGGTATGCAAGCAGACTAAAAGCAAGATCAGGTGATGCTTCTCCATGGTATTCTTCCCTCTTTCAAAAATCAGTGACTCTCTGACTTTTTTGAGCCAATGGTGATATCCCTGCTGTGAACATTTACGGCAGCATAATCCATTAAGAGGTCTGGTTATGAAGCAACTTAACTGCCTAGCATCTAAGGTCATAGCTTATCAAAAGATTGGCAGGCAGGATGGAGCAAAATTTTTCTTTTTCATTGTATTTAAAACATCTTTTTTGATTATGGGTTATTTGTGCCAGGTAAGATGCAACTTGCAGACATATAAAAAGACTTACAATTGTGTTCTGTCTTTTTTGTACATAAGGTTGCAATGAGCTGAATTGGGTCTCCAAAATATAAATAAAATCCTTCACTTAAGACTGCTGCAGAATGAAATGAGACATTCCTTGTGGAATATGGAACAGACCTTCAAATCAGATTATGGAATAGGTCACATGTTAGGCTGCCCAGAAGTTTTAGCAAACAACTGAGTTTTGCTAGACAGTGGTTTTAACAGGAGCATAGAAAAAAACTACAGGAAAGAGAGTGACCACGTTGCAAATACAGAAGCAGCAAAAACCTGAGGAAAAACCTGTTGTCTCTCACAGCTCTGATTCCACTAGATGCAGTGAGCTAGCTGCGTGGCTCAGGGAGGTCCTATTCCTCCTTTCAGCTCCTACCATGCATCTTGTACTGGCAGCACCTGCAGACCCCCAGTAGTCTAGTCTACAGCACTCTTGTGCTGATTTTCACAAATTTTTTCACCCCACGGCAACTGGTTTTGTCTCACTAAATCAACAGAGTCTAAAATATTACTCTGCTGCAAAAGTCTAGCTGGGTCTGAACATTATTGCTGCGTATTACCAGTACAGTTGCATATCACAGTGCACAGATATACTGCATAGGCTTGCAGTACTGTTGCTGTATATTACCAGTACGGTTAGGGTTTTCTGGTGTATTGGGATGGCTCAGCACTCAGAAAATCAAGCAAAATTACTGTCCAAAGGGTCAGAGGGGTGGAACAAAAGGCCAAGGCTGAGCTACAGCAAATGAGTTAGATAAGCTAATACAGCCTGAAAAAAACCTCTGCTAATTAATCAGCATATAAAAACCTTGCCATTTTAAACTTGTTCAGGGTTGGAGTTTGTTTTGGGTTTGTGTGGAGGGCTTTTGGTAGCGGGGGA